TTAAACACCCCCCACTCACCACACCGAGCCGTAGGCTCCGGACCCCACGGGGTGGAGGGACGTGTATCTCCTGGGCAGCTCCCAGAGGGTTTTGTTCACCTCCTGTCTGTAAAATCCTCTTCTCCTTGCGATGTTCATCGCCCGGCGGGTGCGGGATTGCCACCCCCCCAGAGTCCTGGAGTCCGGGAGGGCTTCTGGGGTGAGACAGGGACAGCAAAGTCTCCTCCTGAGCTGCTGAAAAAGGTTCTAGCGAGTTTCCTTCTCTGTTTTCAGCTGCTGTGAGCGTGAAGGGACATGTCTTTGGGCCCTCCTCCCTCCGCCTCCACATTGGTGGAGGTGAGGCATCAGGTGTCCCGACACGCCTCGAGCTCGTGTGCAGGTGCCTCCAGACACTGTTATAGGAGCTGAGGACCCAGCCCCTGTGGTAGGAACACCTCCAGAGCCCCACCTGCACCTACAGCTCTTGCTCTTCTGCTTTTACCAGCTGAGAAATGTCCTCATGAGGCTCAGAGGGGCCCTCGTGAAATCCCTGCTCTGAACAAGCGGATGAGTAAGGACTTGTTGAGCTGGGGAATCCAGGGAACAAGCCACAGCGCCTCGTCAGCCGAGTGAGGACATTCTTCTTTCCAGCTGATGGAGCTCCAGGCTCGTGACAAAGGACATCAGGGTGTTACATCCACGGAACAAGGAAGCGATGGTGATTTTCTCCCAAGACTGGTTTCCCAGCAGAGCTGGGATGTGGTGAAAGCAAGCTGAGGTTCTCCCTCCACCTTGGTCCAGGTGACTGTGGTGAGGAGGTTGGACTTGATGATCTTAAGAGGTCTTTTCCAACCTCAACGATTCTATGAGAGGAGGTTCAGGAGCAGCTGCAAGATGGGACCATCCCAAGAGCTGTTTGTGCCCCAGGCTTTGCTGGGTCTGGTTTCATCTCCTGCAGCAGGTCTAATCCCCTTCTTAGGTCTCCTGGACAGTGCAAAGCCCAAGTTCATGGCTGTGCCTACCTGCACCACACCAGACCAGCACTCCCAGCCTGCGAGGAGGTCCACTCCTGGTGAACAGTGAGCACCTCGACATTGTGCTCCAACTCGAGGAGGCTCCGGTGAGGCTCCTGCACAGGAGATGGATCCATCATCCACTTTCCAAAGGAAGTGACTAAGCTGGACCTTCCCGAGCCAGCCCAGCTGCTCACGCTGGACTTGACCCCACCAACCCTCAACCCTGCCCATGGCCTCATCTACAGAGGTGTCCCTGCTCCGAGCAGGGCTGTGCAGCAGGATTAGAGCCAAATTACTGGCTAAAGAGGAATTATGGATAAAAACCACCATCAAGGTTTTGGGAAAAGCCCATTTTAGCTGTTAAAAGAGCTGAACACGTTAAGTGTTGGCCCTCACGTTCTTCCAACAGCCACAAGAAGCTCTGCAGGTGGATAAAACACCAACCAGGGACCAGGGGCTGTGGCAATTTCTTCACCTCGTTACGTATTTCCGTGTAAACGAGCCCTGGCTACAGCAACAGCCCAGTCAGGAAATGGAGAGAGGGCGGGTTTGGGTCTATAAATACACCTGTGAGCAAGAGGTGGCACAGCAAAAACTGCTGGTACATCAGCAACGAGGAGCTCCTCTGGCATCCCGTGAACACCACTCTTGCTCAGCGGGTAATCGGCGCACAATTAAGGAGTTCTACATATCTAGGGCATGTCTGGGCTGTAGAGAGATGAATTAAATCAAGTGACCCATGCAAAATGAACAGGAAACCTTAAGTAATTTGATTTTGTAGGTGTAGCTTTTTTTCT